ATAAAGTCTAAATTTTCAGTGAACTTTACATTAATTCTTCATTTAATAAAAATCAATCTTAGACTATTCAAAATGTCAACATCTAGTTTAAACCAGAGAAACAATTTAAGGATTATATCAAGTCGCTATTGACATGTAACGACTTTTCAAATCATGCGAGAACAAAAAAAAGAGGAAAAAACCATTAATTAATCGTCACCAATTCCGAAGTTGAATGGAAAGAAGATGCCATAAAACTTGTGTTTTGTTCCAACTCATCGCCAAGTCAAAATATTATACCCTTTTTTCGTCTTTTTTCAATAAATAAAAATGTAACTCCCTATGATAATTGTTTCTTTTTATTGTTGTTTCTTCTTTTTTAATTAGAAAAGAAAAAAAAACATATTTAGTAACTCTCTGGAGAACAACCTGTTCTCCAGAGTTAGAGTTTCAAATTAAAAAAGACTAATTTTTTTTTATATAAAGATTAATTTTTAAAATTAAATATTCAAATTTTTTTTATCTTATTATGAATTTTATAAGTCAAGAATGATAAAGTAATCATTTTAAAAATGATAAAATAATCCTTTTATTTATCTTTTGAAAAAAACTGAAAACGACAAAGGACAAATAAAAATAGTTACCAAACATTTAATGTTTCCTCTAAAATTAAAAACGAAAAATAAAAAGAGAACAGTATATTACAACCTCCAACTTCCATTTAAATTATATATTAGAGTAGATAGATAGTGGTACACTACAAATAATGGCATTTTTATAGTTAAAAAGTGTTCCTAAGTATATATTGCTAGATGAATATTTTCTATGTTTGATAGAATTTTGTAGAGCTGTCTCTCCTTGAAAGCAAAACCCACCATGGAAGAATTTGTCTAAAGCCAAATTCCAAATATTTACTTTCATGGAGGAGACGTTGTTTGCACGATTTCAATGCTAGGAAATGCCACTAACAAATTTCACACAGTCCTAAATGTCACACACATTGATCAATGCCCATCAATTTTGTCTCGTGACAAGCACAAAATTAGCTTCAACACTTTTGGTCACAACGATTTCCCAATCTCTTATGAATGTAAAGTCAAACAGATGTATTTCATTGAGCACCACTACAACCAAAACTATGTCCTGCTTAAGACTCCCAATTGAAGTCTCGAAGAGGGTATTTCAAATCTCGTCACCGACTCACCACACTAGCGTGTAACAAGAGAAAAACAGTAGGATTTGAAAATAGAGGAGAAAAATAGTGTCGTGCGTGGAAAATACCACTGTCTTGAAATCAATTTTGACGCGACTCAGACTTGCAACTTGTTAAAACACATTTTTTTGATTTTGATGAAGTTAATTAGAAACATAATCCCATCAAATATAGGCAAAACATTTTGTGGTGTAATGCTATATGTACCATTCTCTGGAATATCGGGCTGGAAAGGAACAATCACACCTTTAACGGCGCTGCACTTTGGCTTTTGGGAGGGTATCATTATAAATGCTTTGTCTTGGTCCTCTAAATCCAATCTTTTTTGTGATTACGATATTGTTACCATTTCTTTCAATTGGACCACCTTTCTTCAAGCTCTCTCTTTTGGTACGTTTCTCACACCCTTTTATGAAACGGTGGCAATTGTGGCTCGCTTGTGAAGGTCAAATGTGATCTTGAGCTCACTCCAAACATGGTTTACAAGTTCTCTAATTCTCCCAATTGTGAATCTTGGAGATGTGCAAATGATTCCAAACATAATTTCATTCCCAATAAATAGTGTGGAGAACGACCTCTTGATCTTTTGCAGGTACCTTTAGATCACGCGCCTCTTTCGTTCGTCCCTTTACACTTCCATTTTCATGCACTACGTAAACCCAAATCTAATAGATATTCACTGTTTCCAAATCTACACATTTTTCTCTATATATATCTTTCATTGTTTACATGGGAGGAGTTAATTTGATTATTAGGGTGAATTAATGAAGAATATTAAGTTGAGTGACGTTTTGAAGAAGGCCAAGCCATACTTAGCTGCCATCCTTCTAAGATTTCTGGGTGCACCTTTGGTTGTCATAGCAAAGATTGCATTGAACCATGGCATGAGCCCCTTCGTGTATTCTCTCTATCGTTATTTTGTTTCCGCCATTGTTGTAGCTCCATTTGCCTTACTCCTTGACAGGTTCCTCTCTCTCTCTCTCTACATCTCTCTCTCTCTCTTTGGACTTGGGAAACGGCTGAAACTGATGACACAAATAATGTATATGTCAGAAAAAGAAGACCACAGATGACTTGGCCCATCTTTGCCAAGATTCTATTGCTCGGCTCCATGGAGTGAGAACTCATTTCTTTAATTATTTGTTTACATATTTTTTTTAACGTTCTTTGTTTATTGTTTATCTCAAAATTATACATAAATGTAAAAAAAAAAAATTCATGTTTCTTGTTCTTGTCTCAATTTATTTCAAAACATGGAATCTATGGGATTGGAGGCCATATAATTCTATTTTTCTTTGTTATAAATGAGAAATAGAAACCATAAATGAATATGTTATCCAACAAGTCATAAATTACAAATTTAATTTGTGTGAAGTGGGAAAAGTTTCAAGTTGGTTCTTATGATTTAATTTTTTTTTATCTTTATGGTTTGGATTTGGTTTTAATCTGGTATCTACAATTTGGGTTGAGTTTAATATCAATTTGATTCTTACTTCCTCAAGAAAAAAACGACTCTTATGGTTTTGATAAGTTTTAACTTGAAACGTGAGTGGCCTTAAAAGTTCTAATTAATTCATATGATTTGGACTTAGTTTGAATTTAGGTTGAATTTATCTATATAATTAAAGTACATGACACATTTAAAAAAAAAATCAAGTGGCAATGAATTAAATGCTTTCTATCTCGCTGTCTTTATTAAGATTTAGGATCAAGTAAAAAACAAGAGAAAATAGGTAGGTTTTTGAGTGCATGGGTTAAAAACAAGTTAGAATGCGATGTGTGACCGTTTAGGATCAATTGAATATTTTAGATAATCATAAATGATCAAATTAAAATTAAAAAAAATTATAAAGATTAAATTGAAACTTTTCGATCAAATTCTTAGTTTAACCAATTTGATGAACGGTTTAATTTTGTTGTAAATGATTGGGGATGCAGTTGTGTGGTTCTCCCCAACATGTATTTCAGTGGTTTGAAATATGTAACTCCAACTTTCTCCATTGCTATGTCCAATGCTGCTCCTGCCCTTTCCTTCTTTTTCGCAGTCACCCTCAGGTACTTCTCTTCATGTTACGTTCGTTAATCATTTCATTTTCGATATTTTTTTTTATATTCAAAAAATTGTAAGTAAACAAACATAATTTTTTAAATTACTTTTAAGTTTGTTGCAGTAAAAAGTGATTATTAGTTTTTTTTTTTTTTATAGGATGGAGAAGGTTGATATCAGGAGATTTTCGTCCCAGGTAAAGATATTGGGAACTGTAGTGGCAGTGGGAGGGGCAATGATAATGACCTTTTTTAGAGGCCCAAACTTGAGATTTCCATGGACAAAATTACAAGACTCACACAATAATCATCACTCTAATAATTCAACTTCTCCTTCAAACACCCATCAAGATTCTTTCAAGGGTGTCATTTTGGTCACAATTTCTTGTCTCTGCTCTTCTCTTTCATGCATTCTCCAGGTACAAACAATACAAAAGAATCCTATTTCGATTCAATACATCTTTGCTCGTGTACCACGAATCGATCTCTCGATCCCGGTATCAAGTAGTTAAGTTTTGTTATTTTGTTGTTTCAGGCAGTTGTATTAAAATCATATCCAGTGGGGCTGAGTGTGACAGTTTTGGTGAGCTTGGTGGGAGTTGTGGGAGGAGCTGTGGCAGCTTTAGCAATGGAATGGAACAACTCTTGTGCTTGGGCAATTCATTTTGATTTTCAACTCTTGGCCATCCTTTATGCTGTAACTATGAATCCCACTTCAAGTTTCTTTCTCTAATTTCTGGCTCAGTTTATTCTCCTTCTTAAATTTTAGTTTACTAAAACAAATAATATCTTTTTTCCTTTTATAATTTGGACTTAATTTTAATTTGGTTTCTTTAATGTCAAAAGTTTTAATTCAGTTTTTTGATGGTCCTCAAAGTTTCCACTTGATTTCTATATATGGGTCAGAGTTAAACCTTACCAATCACATTCATGAATTATTTTTATCTCCAAAATTTAAATTATATTCTTGATGTTTTACTAGATCATAAATATTGAATTGAAACTTTTAGGTCTCGTTTGATAACACGATTTTCATGTACGTATTTCTTTGTATTGCATCTAATTTTTTAAAACATTTTTAAAATATAAGCTAAAATTTGAAAACTAAAAAAAAAAAATTTTCAACTTGTTTTTATTTTTAAAATAGAGTTTGTCAAATTTATTTCTAAAAATAAGTTAAAATATCTTAAAGAAATTTTGAGCAAACAAATATAATTTTCAAAAACAAAAAACGAAAAATAAAATGGTTATGAAATGGAATCTTAAAAACCATATGAATCATATTGAAATTAAGCTCAAACTATTAGGATCAAATTAAAACTCATGAGACGGTAAATACTAAATTGAAAATCAGCCCACCCGACAAGACCAAATTTATAATTTAACCATTTTATAATTTTGCAGGGAACAATAATCTCAGGGCTTTCGTACTACGTTCAAGGAGTTGTAATGGAGGAAAAGGGGCCTGTGTTTCTAACAGCATTTGTCCCTCTAGGCACCGTCATGGTTGCAATCATAAGTTCATTCGCAGTCTCGGAGATTTTGTCTTTGGAAAAGTAAGGGCCCGTTTGAAAACGTTTTCGTTTTTTATTTTTAATAAATAAAAATAGAATTGTATGAGTCTAACTCTTCATAGATTCAAGAACGATAAAACGATATTTTTATTTATTTTTTAAACAAATTAGAAATGAGACAAAAAAAAAAAAAATAAGAAACTTGTTTAGGTTATTTTTTCTTAATAAAATTGAAAACGAAAAACACAAGATACGAAAACGGAAACGGACCTGAGCTATTGGCCCCTCATTCTAAGCCCTTCCAAATTTAACATGAAAAACGAAAAAATTGATTTCTTTGCGAGAGGAGAAATGTTACTTGCTGTTTATGTATATGGTTTTCAATTCTAAAATTTCAAGAAGACAAAATAAGAAGAAAATTTTGAAATAATAAGATCACTTTTCATAACCATTTTATTTTTTGTTTCTATTTTAAAAATTAAGCTTAAAAAGACTATCTAGTTATATCTACATTTCTTAAATCTAAGCCAAAATTTGAAAATTGAAGTAGTTTTAATTTTTTTTTCTTGTTTTCTTAAACTTAATTAAGAATTCAAATACAATAGGTAAAAAACATGCTACATAAACAGAAATCAAGTCTAATTTTTAAAAGTAGAAAACGAAAAATAAAGTAGTTATCAAATGGGGCATAAATATTTTTAATATAATGGGCTGACCATACATATTGAGTTATTTTTGTAGGGTTTTGGGAGGAGTGGTGATAGTAGTAGGTCTTTATTTGGTTATGTGGGGCAAAACCAAAGATTCCGCCATTGTCGATAAGGCAGCTAATAATTCTTCACAGAGCTTTGAGGCTTCGGATCACCATCAAGATGATCAACGACTCAAAGCAGCTGATGGGGTTGCTAGGGCTGGTTTCGTTTGAATAACAATCATGTCCTATTCGATAACGATTGTGATCTTATAAATTTTCACATTTTTTTTTAGTTAAGCTTGTTTGTTAATGAATAGCGATGTCGTAGTTAAACTATATAAGAGTAGTGTTTGGGGTGTGTTAGAAAATTATGTGTGAAGTATTACACTGCGTTAACAATTAATATATAAAAGTTGACTATATCACGTATAAGTGAAATTTGAGAGACGAGTCATTGGTCTAATCAAACCAAAAAATAAAAAATGTTGGAGGTGGCTTAGTGGTAGGGGTGGATCCACGAAGCGACCAGGTGACACATACCTCATGACAATAATATAATATATTCTATACATTTTGTTAGTATATTTCGTCTTCCCGTACCCTAGTTCGAATTTGGCTTGACGAATGCAAATATATATATATATATATATATATATATATATATATATATATATATTATACATCACCCAGCCACGCAATATTTAAAAAAAAAATGGGTTTACATATATTTTCTAAGATTGGTTGAATATCTAGCCTTTTTTATTTGCATAATAATTTATAGATAAATCAAACTAATTTTTGCTTTTTATTCACATGGTTGACTTTCTTTCTTTAATTTTCAAAATTTTAGCTAGAGTTAAACTTAAATACGAGTTTTGAGTCAGAATATACCCTTGATAGTAAGCCCATTATTTGTAGACTTCTAGTTTTAGTTCTGGTAATTGTTAAATTTTTGTCTTAGGTCTTAAATATTTTTTTTATCCATACTTTTATAATTAAATTTAACTCTAAATCAATATGGAGAAATATTATAAAAAATATGCAACTGAGTCATTATTTCTAAAGAAAAGTAATACTAACGCATATTGAGAACGATTTATTTGATAAGTTAGATAATAACATTACAATAGGTCGATTGATTGTAGATTATTTTATGTATTGTATCCCCTTGAGTTAAATTCTTGGATCTGTCACTCCGCGTAAGCTTTATCAATTTTCAAACTAAAGTTGTTAATTTTTGGAACGGTAAAAAGTGCTTTTAACTTGAAAATTTAATTTTTAAAATTTTCACAATATTTGATAAGATAATGAAAAATAATTTTAAAGATTCTAAAAATATAGAAAAAGCACTTAATTAGTTTTTTAGTGCTAGAGACCGATAAAAAAAAAGAACACTTAAAAGTACTTTTGAAGGCAACAATTACATAGTTTTCTTCTGGAACTACTTCTACTGAAAAAGGAAAAAAAAAATTACATAGTTTACTTTTTTTTGACTTCTGAATAGAGGAGGACTCGAACCTGGATTTTGGGTGTCAACATCCAAATTCTTGCCAGTGGGTAACACCCAAAGGTGCTTAAAGAAAAAAAAACATTTACCTAAAATACTTTTCTTAACCAAAAGGCATCTCAAACCCACTATAAACAAAAGTTTAGTAGGTGAGTCCGAATATCACCAATATCACAAAGTATTTTATCTTTGTCCCTAAACTTTCAAATCTGGTTATATCTTCTTCTTTTTTTTTCGAACTCACGAACTTTTGGTTGGAGATATATGTCAATTACAGCTAAGTTATGCTCGTTTTGACCTGATTAAATCTTTTGGTACTTAAACTTTGAATAAAAATAAATGGGAGTTATAGTTAGGTAAGTTCTTAGGGTGGGAAATGATTCTTTTCTCTAAGGAAAAAAACACTTAAAAATTAATTAATTTTTCAAGGTTATTGGAGCACGTGTCATAATAATTATGTAGAGGTCTTTATTTAGTTCTTTGGGGGCAATTGCAAGAAGATGAGCTTCCATTCAAATTGGGCAGTGTTGAGTTACCCAACTTTCATGAAAGCCTTCTTCAGATCAAAAACAGTAAACAATTTCCACACAGAGATGATTGATTGGGACTTCTCCTTCAAGTATTTTCTAAGGTTTTAATTCATATAATGATTTTGTTCATGTACTTCTAAAAATTTTGATCTCATTCTAAGTTTTTAATTTAGTAATTGTAATGGTCTTTATCATCATATTAATAATTACCCGATGCATGTTACAAAAACTTTTGGTTATTCACGAAGTTTTAATTATTTTATAAGGTGTGAGAATAAAATTGACGAAAAGTTTCGATGATATGGTGATTAAAGAAATAATTGATCAAATAAGCTCGAGATCAAATCTATATTGTCAGGAGCCTAACTTAACAGTAATTAACACTTGATTTTGATTAAAAGATCACGGGTTCGCGAATCCCCCACCTCATTTGTTGTACTAAAAAACAAACCAAAGAAATTATTTCACCTACCAAGTTTGTAACCCTTTCGAATATGAAATGAATGTTACTTGAAATGATTTGAATCATTATTTTTAAATATAAAAGTAAATGTCTTAACCGTTGAATTGGATCGAGTAATAAAATATTGCAGTTGTTTGTTCTAATTAGGTCATATTCTCACCTTCTCTCTTTTTGTGGAAATATGATATGGATTGCATCATTTTCAAAATGGAAATATGAGATGGATACCACTTCAAATATCTCTCTCTTTTTCCTTGGGAAATTACTATTCAGAGTTGATCATTATTTATTCCCAATTACCATCTTCATTTGAAACTCCTTCTAAGGTTTTTTATTTTCATATATTTTCTTTTTCTTCTTCTATATATTTTCCACACCCTCTCCCACTAATTATATTATTTTTTTCATTCATCACCATACACTTCATAAATCTTCATAAATCTAATTTTTCCAAATTAAAGTTAGACATAAATAATTTAGACTGGTTTTGCCATTGCCGTTTTCTCCCTCATTGTTGAAACTTTCCCATAATTTCATTTCATCTTCATATTATAATTCACACCATTAAATTCATAATCTGAACTTAAATAAATATTTTTAATATATTTTCCAACATAAAATTCACCTCTACTCATGAAAGGTGATCAAGAGTGGTAATTTTTTTTTCTTTCTTTATTTTTCTTTATTTTTCTTAAACATGAGAGAGATTCCTTTGGGATATGACTTCATGATATATAAAATGTTTATTTTAAGAGAAGAGAAAATAGAGAAAATAAATAGAACATTAGTTTCATCCCATTTTTCTACCACCTAATAACCTATTTAAACTAACATAATCACAAATCATAATTCAAATAATATAGTAGAAAAACCGAGCAAAATAGAGTTTAAGTGAATTATTTGAGTGTTGTTCTTGACAACAATAACTTTTTACTTTTTATGTATTTTCATTTGACTTTTCTTTTATTATCAAATATAATTCTATTTAAGTCCATGCATATCTTGGTACACACACAATTTCATGCCTTTCAACAAGATGAAATCTTACCTAATTAAATTGTATTAACAAAATGGTGGTAATTTCCATGCATTAGGCGCTAGGCCAATCAAGTTGTTCATTCACTGGTACAGAAAGCTTTCATTGAACTCACAATCTCTTGATTGGAAACATGAGTTATGCTGGCTTTGACACTTAACTAACTAAACTAATTAGGATCAATTAACTAATTACAACTATCTGTGACAAATATGCAATACAAGGATTTGAACCTCAAAAATAGCAATATCAAGAAGCAAATCCAATGATGAAGGTCTCAAGTGCATAGACAAGTTACTGCTGAGCTATATATATTCATATTACGACCCAAAAAATATTAATTTATATATACTAGGAATTTTTACTTCTAAGTTCATTTAATAGACAGTTGAAAGTTTAAGGGTGTAATTGTTTTTTTTCATATTACAGCACAACTGTCTATCAAATTGCAAATTGTAATTTGTACAGCCTTAAACTTTCAATTGTAAAAAACTTTCAATTGTAAAAATTGGTGTAAAAATTAAACCCTCGAACTTTTATAAATAAAAAAATTTTTACATCCTCAAACCTTCAATAGTAAAAATTAAACCCCTAAACTTTAACATATGATAAAATTGTACGCTCTAATTCAAAAATTGTAAAATCTGCACCCTAAAATTTTGAAAATTTGTATCTATTTGACAATTGTAAAATTAAAATTTTTTTTTCTGTTCGTGGATATTCGATTTTGCAGACAAACAGTAATTCACAAATGGAAATATGCTCCATCATTCATTAACTTGTGAGGGATTTAACACAACAACGGACATTATTTTCCATTTCAATTTTCAATATCAGATCTTGAAATGTATCAGATTTATTAATTACGTATGCGTACAAATCTATTCCCCAAAACTTGGCGGGGCCTTTGGTATTTCCTGTCAATTCCGCCGATAGAATTATTATTCATGTCTTCTTTTGTAAGCTTAAACTTAAAAACTTTGAGCAATCTCTTGGATTTTGACGTCCCTAAGAGCAATTTGAGCAACAATCTCCCCATATTTATTGGCAAGTCTCGAGGAAAAAGGCTTTATAAAAATTGTCTGCAAAATCGGATATTGAAGAGCAAAAAAAAACTTCATTGAATTCAAAATTAATGAAGATGAGAATATTTTCGGTACATAATATGGACGGAATTGTAAAAAAAAATACCATTTTAAAAAATTTTAGGGTTTAATTTTAATTTGGAGGGTACAATTTTATCATATGTGAAAGTTTAGGGATTTAATTTTTACTATTCAAAGTTTGAGAGTTTAATTTTTTCATTTATAAAAGTTCGAGGGTTTAATTTTTACAATTGAAAGTTTAAGGGTGTAATTTTAACAACCACCATACTTTAGGGTGGTTTTTGCAATTTGCCCTTGTTTTTTTTTCTATCTTTTTCTATTGAAAAAAAAAACCAAAAACATATTTGTCTCTTTGTTTGAAAATTTAAATTAATAAAAAAGTAAACGATTTATATAAAAGTTAAATTAAGTATGGAAACTTTTAAATATTCATTATGTATTTTATTAATAAAAAATTAGAAAATAATGTTTTTATTTATATTTTTTGAAAAAATGAAAATAAGAACGAAAAACAAATATAATGACATTTTTATATGTTTTTAATAACCTGCTTTTGATAGACAGTAGATTCCAACCTACACTACAGGCTTAAATTATAATACTAAAAAAATTGCACTAGATAGATAGTGGTAGAAATAATGACATTTTTAAAGTTAAAAAATGCTCTTTAAGTATTGTTAAATGAATTATTTTCTACATATGTTTGATAAGCTGTCTCTACTCAAAAGCAAAACCCACCATGGAAGAGTTGTCTAAAGCCAAATTCCAAATATTTACTTTCATGGAGACGTTTGTTTGGACGATTTAACCAAAAAAAAAAAAAGAAAGGAAAATATCGTAAACTTTGTTGGTTCATGATTCGAATAGACAACTTAAAACGCTCTTATTTTAAAATATCTCATCAATTATTCTCCTCTCTTGCTTCAAATTTCATGATGGTCACTTATCTTATAAATCAATTCCTATGTTATTATTCGTCACCAAATGTTGTATAGGATTAGGTGGCTGTCTCACGAAATATGTTGAGAATCCATGTAAATGAATTAATATGGTATGAGAATCCAAAACGTTCATACGAACAACAAGTCCAAAAATGGGATCCGACCAAGATTAATGAGCCAAATTTATAATAGACATGATAAGCTACTCTTCTCATGACCAATTGGTATTGAGAAATAACTCCATAAATATTGACATTATATCAGAGCGGGAGGTCCTCTATTAAAATCCCTGCATTATTATTTCCTCTCCATTTATATTGATTTCCATTTGTTGGGTCTTGTCAATTATCCAACCCACAAAATCTCGTATTTTTTTTAGTACTAATAGGTTGGAATTGAGGGATTCAAACTCACGATCTTCTAGTCAAACATAGATGTTTTAACTCGCTAAACTATGTTCGGGTGAGTAGTAGACTACTCTAAATTGAAGCGCGGAGGAGGTTAAATACTTCTTGATGTTGCCGTTGGTTCCCTGTTATGCTCCCATTTTTAGTCAACATTCTTTCCAAATCTATACAATTATTTCTCTCTCTAGGTACATCTCTTCCCTGAATGAAGAATAAGTTGAGTGGCGTTTTGAGGAAGGCGAAGCCATATTTAGCTGCCATCGTTTTAAGATTTCTGGCTGCAGCTTTGATTGTTATATCAAAAATTGCAATGAACCATGGAATGAGCCCCTTCGTGTATTCCCTCTATCGTTTTTTTGTTGCCGCCATTGTTGTAGCTCCATTTGCCTTACTCTTTCACAGGTCTCTCTCTCTCTCTCTCTCTACATCTCTTTCTCTCTCTTTGGACTTGGAAAATGGCTGAAACTGATGACACAAATAATATATATGGCAGAAAAAGAAGACCACAGATGACTTGGCCCATCTTTGCCAAGATTCTATTGCTCGGCTCCATGGAGTGAGACAAGTCGTTTTTTTTTTTATTTAGTTCGTGTCGTCAAGAGTTTCAATTTGGTCCATATGATTTCAATTTCATTTCGACGATTTGAGATTTAGTTAAATTTCAATTTTGATTCTTATGGTTTGTGTTTAGTTTCAATTTAAATCACGTGGGGTTAAAAAGTTCTAATTTGATTCCTATTATTTTGACCTTAGTTTTCCATTTATTAATTCGGGTGGTTTTAAAAGCTCTAACCTTATGGCTTAGATTTAGCTTCAAATTTAAATTTCTGTATGTGTAAAAGCTTGATCCTAGCTTTGCCATTTGACTTCAATATCATATAAAATATATGATAAGTTTTCCACTATTAATATTTAAGATGAAGTACGATTAAAAGACTATAAGTTCAAATCTACCATGTGAACCAAATTGAAAATTTAAATAATCACACAGACCAAATTCAAAGTTCAAGCCACTTTGATGATTGGTTTTTGTTGTAAATGATTGGGATGCAGATGGTTTGAAATATGTAACTCCAACTTTCTCCGTAGCTATATCCAACGCTGTTCCTGCCTTTTCCTTCTTCTTCGCTGCCACTCTCAGGTACTCCTTTGTCCATGCTCCATTCGATAATCGTTTTATTCAAAGAAAATATATCGATCAAAATAGTATTTTCTTATTGTTTGGTATGTTTTTAACCTGTTTTTAAGTCCAATTTTAAAAAACAAACTTTTGAAAACTACTGCACTTTTGCAAATTAAAATTTGACTTAGGTTTTGAAAATGTTTTCCAATTTTAATAACAATACAAAATAATAATATATAGTAGGGAAGAGCTAGTTGTAAACTTAATTTTTAAAAATATACAATAAAATAGTTATGAAACAAAACTTTTTAGTACCATAAATTTCGGTAGGATGAGGATCGAACTCATAATCTCTTAATTGAAAATACGTGTTAATTATGGTTGAGCTAGGATCGCTTTGGTCACTGTTTATACTCTTTTAACTTTTAAGTTTGTTGCGGTAAAAAGTGAATTTAATTCTCTTTTTTCTGTAGGATGGAGAAGGTTGATATCAGGAGATTTTCATCCCAGGTAAAGATATTGGGAACTGTAGTGGCAGTGGGAGGGGCAATGATAATGACCTTTTTTAGAGGCCCAAACTTGAGATTTCCATGGACAAAATTACAAGACTTACACAATAATCATCACTCTAATAATTCAACTTCTCCTTCAAACACCCATCAAGATTCTTTCAAGGGTGTCATTTTGGTCACAATTTCTTGTCTCTGCTCTTCTCTTTCATGCATTCTCCAGGTACAAACAATACAAAAGAATCCTATTTCGATTCAATATATCTTTATTTGCTCGTGTACCATGAATCAATCTCTCAGATGCTGATGTGGAACATTGTTCGCATCCCGGTATCAGGTGGTTAACTTTTGTTATTTTATTGTTTCAGGCAGTTGAATTGAAATCATATCCAATGGGATTGAGTGTGACAGTTTTGGTGAGTTTAGTGGGAGTTGTGGAAGGAGCTGTGGTGGCTTCAGCAATGGAATGGAGAAACTCTTGTGCCTGGTCACTTCATTTTGATTTTCACCTTCTATGCATATCTTCTTCATTGTTTCTTTTCTCTTGGTTTTTATTTTAGTTTTCAAAAATTAAGTTTTTTTTACCAAATACAAGTTACTAAAAGGTTCCATTACAAATTTGATATTTATGGTTGGGGCTTAAGTCTTTTAACATGGTCTTTTTAATTTAGTTTTTATATTGTTCTAAAAGTTTTAACTTTAGTTTCTATCAAGTTCGAACACACGAACCTCCAACTCTGATACCAACTTAAAGATGAATAACCTACCGTACGAGTTTGGTAAATTTAATTCATTTATGGATATCTAATAGTTTCCTATATATGTTTGGTGAACTCTTTCTAAAATCCTAATGCAAGTATAGCTCGCCAACATGGTCGATTAATTATATTATTGGAGTTTTAATAGATCATAGATATCAAATTGAAATTTATTTTTAGGTCCCGGCCATTGGATAACTATTTTGTTTTGAGTAACTATTTTGTTTTGAGTTGTTTGTTTTTTAAAATTGCGCTTCTAATTAAACACTACTATTTTTAGGACCTGTGTTTTTAAAAGCATTTTTCCCTCTAAGCAGTGTCATTGTAGCAATCATAAGCTCATTTGCAGTCTCTGAGATTTTGTCTTTGGGAAAGTAAGCTGTTGCTCCCTCATTCTTAAGCACTGCTAAATTTAACCTTAATAAACAAAGAAAAAAAATAGTCTTTGTGAGGGCAAAAATGTCTTCATCATTTACTTTATTTCGCTTTGTGTTTTTTATTTTAAAAATTAACCTTAAAAATATTATTTATATTACCAACCTGAACTTAGTTCAATAGTAGTTGACACCATTAGGTCACGAGTTCGAATCTTTCATTTCCATTTGTTGTACTAAAAAATTTGAGTTATTTTTGCGAGATTTTTCGAGGAGTGTTATAATAATATGTCTTTATTTGGTTATGTGGGGGCAAAACCAAATATCCCACCATTGATAAGAAAGCTAATAATTCTTCACAAAGCTTCAAGGCTTTGGACCATCAAGATCAACAACTCAAAGCAGATGAGGAGATTGCTATGCCAACATAAGGGATCGTTTTGTTTGAATAACGATCCTGCTTTGTTCGATAACGAACATTGTGTTCTTATAGATTTTTACATTTAAAAAAAAATAAACTTGTTTATTAACGATCTCTTAGTTAAAATATAGGTAATATTGTGGTGTGTGTTCGGAAATTTTGTGTGAAGTATTACAATGTTGAAATCAATATATATATATATATATATATATACATATATAAAGTTGACAGTCATGCCTAAGTGAAATTGAGAGACGGGTCATGTAGTGTAGCTAATAGAACCATGAAGAAAACTAGGTTGAAGATGGATTAGTAGTATATCGATCATCAAAAAAGTAGACAACAAATTTGACAAGAATAATCCTAAAAATATATATATATTCAATTTTCTTAGATGTGTCTCCAGTTCTTACACCTATTAGATGCAATGAATAAGATAAAGTCTCTCTTTTTTATAAGTTATAATTGTTAAATTAGCAGCTATATAATTCAATTTTCAACTTATATATTGATTGACTATAATAATTATAATAATTAGTGATTAACTTAGATATTTTTTTAACTTGGATATTGATTAGCTATAATCACAGTAACCATTTATTGGTACGTGTTTTACTTTTTATTAATGTTTACAATTATTTTTATAGTTATTAGTCTTGTAATATATATCTTTTCTTAATTAATGATACTAGATATAGGTACTGGCTAGAACCCATTGTTTAGCTAGTAGCCCAAAATTGAGCCGAATATCAAAAGACTTTCTTTTTCCAAATTATTTAAAAGTCGAAAAGAAACTTTTTATTAATATTTATACTTCTTTTTATGACTATTATTCTCATAATATTCTATCTTAATTAATTATAAGTTAAAAAACATTTTTTGTCTCTATATTTTCGCTAAAATGACAATTTACTTTTTAAAACTTAGTTTGTCACGATTTAGTCTGTACTTTTCAAATTGGTAACAATTTAGTCTTTGAACTTTAATATCTAACAATTTAGTAATTGTAATTTAAAGTTTGTAACAATTTAGTTCTTATTGTAGTTTTTTTTTTTTTTTGGTTAAGTTTCTTATATATATAGATTGATAAACTAAAGAGGAACCAAATATGTTTATAAATTAGAAAAATTAAATTGTTATAGGATAAAATTTTTTACGGAGACTAAATTGTTACAAATTTTAATCTACAGGGACTAAATCGTTACAAACTAAAATTTAGGGACTAACTCATTAGTTTAGTAAAATTATAGGGACTAAATCGTTACAAACTAAAGTTTAAGGACTAAATTATTACTTTACAAAATTAAATTGTAAATTATTACTTTAGTGAAAATACAAAGACCAAATCTAAATTATTACATTTTTTTAACTCTATATCTTTTATTCACTGATAATTTAATTCTGAGTATATTTATTATTATCTTTACTTATTGTTTGAAATCTAACTATCGTGTTTCTTTTGGAAAAAAAAAATTACTGTAAATTATTGTTGCGTATATATTAAGTATCTTGAATATTTATTGCATGAGTTAAATTCTTGATTTTTTTTTTTTGGGGATAAAATTTGAAATCTTGATTGTAGAAATCTATTAACTTTTTTTTAATTGTATTTATTTTTTACCTTAGAAAACTTGCTGGGAATTATTAAAAGTAACCATTTGTTTGGAAAACTTATTTATTAATTAAAAGCCTAACTTTACAAACTGGTCCTAAATCAAACTGTGTATCCGTTTTGGTTTGGGTGTAAAAAATTTAATTAATCATTAATTAGGTTTAAAATTAAAACAAAACAATTATAAAATTCATCAGCTCCAGCTCTAACATATTTATTTATTTAGAGTTGTTACAGCCATTCAAGAAATAAAAGTTGGTTTCACCGAAAAAAGTTAAATTACAATTTTAGTCCATAAACTTTCAACATATCCTAATTATAGGTTTGGAAACTTTAAAAGATAATCCAATTAGGTTCTCAATTTTATATCTAATAGATCCCAACATTACAATTTTGTGCTTAATAGGTTATTAGCTTATTTAGCATATTTTTAAAATTCACGAGCCTATTAAACACAAATTTACAAAATCACGAGTTCTATTACACACAAAATTAAGTTTTGTGTTTAATAAGTCCATAAACTTTAAAAAATATTAAATAGGTCAGAAATTTATAAGACACAAAATTGAAAGTTCGATAATTTAATAGACACCTTTAAAGTCCAATGTTCTACTAGACACAAAATTAAAGTTTAAGAATCTATTAAACATTTTTTAATATTCAGTGATTTATTAGGCACAATAACTCTAAATGTTAAATTAAGGACTAAATTTGTAATGCAATGATATAAATGTGTGCTTACAAAAAAAAACGATAAAAATGTGTAATAGCCAATTTGAACATGGTTCAGTCATTAAGAAATATCTTATTCATTTCTTTAGAGGTTTAATCTCCGATCCTCTTATATTATTTGTTTTATTAAAAAATAAATGTATAATTTTTAGTTAATTTTTAATATCCTAGGTTTGGTGATAATGTTGTATTGGAATTTGGGATTAAGTTAATTAATAAAATGCTTGTGTTGTGTTATGGAAAAGAGGATGAGACGGATGGCAATTCAATAATGGTTGTCTCCTAATCAGCTCACCTTTCATATTATTTCATGGAAACATGAGATGGATGCCATTTCAAAAATCAACCTCTCTCTTTCTCATGATTTATAAAGAAAAAAAAAATATAATTTCTAGTCTTTAAGAGATATTACTAATATTTTGATTGATTGAAGTATTTTATATCACGATGGGTTTCAAATTGATTTTTTCTTTCAAAAGAAAAATAATAAAGTGATTAACACCATTTATTTTTAGTAATTTTCCTCATCAACATGAGCATATAACTAATAACAATTTCTATACTAAAAAAAGTTTTTTTCCCTCAGTCTAACACACAAACACACCAAATATCGGGGTCAAAGTATTACTAAAATAAACAAAAATTAAAAGAAAAAAAAATCAAAATAAACGTTTTGAAAAAGTAAATGAATTAAAATAAAAACCAAAGTCAAGTACATTGATTGAAAATAGTAAATCCTCTCCCCCAAATGATATAAAAGAAATAATAATCTCACATCAATGTCAACTGTTTACATAACTTGTCACATCTGTGTCTAGTATATCTTTCTCACCCACAAAAAACCTAAATTCAAACTTGGGCAAAGTAATTTGTAGGGCAATAATTATGAAGTGGGTTTTTTTTCTTTCTTTTTTTTTTTTAGTTAAAGCAAGAAGTAGTTGTTAAATGTACATCCATCACTTATTGTTTGCCAATACACCAACACTTCATTTGTTTAATCCCCACCCTAAACACCAACCCCATTTTTTTAATTTTACATATATAAAATCCACAGCCCCCACCATTGATTTCCTTTACTAATGAATCTTCTCACCCTCCTCCAAAATTCAGTTATTGTTGGGAGGAAGGGTGAGTGCAGACACGGTTTAACGATCAATATTGTTGGATTTGTGAGGTGAATGCAAACAAAGTCCCACATTGGTTAGGGAATGAGGTAATAATTGATATATAAGATAGGACAATTAAGGCTATATCCAAAGCGGACAATATCATACTGGGTACTTAACCAATACAAATATATTTCTTAAAATGCTTTTAATTATTTACCAAAAATCACTTTTAACCAAGAAAGCTATTCTTAGAATTACAAATAAAATATTAGAAATGTCAAAATGTACTACCAATTAGACTATAAGAATTATTCATTACAAATTTCTTGACCTTCATGATATAAAACTTCTATTGGCATCTCTATTTAATTGAATATTTAACTCCTTAGCTATGATATAGGGTCATGTATACGTCATTCTATAAGATAATGTGATTTAATAGATATTAAAATATGTGGTGTGAGATCACATTAAATAATTCTGCGGACATTTAAAAAAAAAATTTACTTGCCCTTAATATATTTGAATATAATTCATTTAAAACCATTTTACTCAAGGTACATACAATTTTAGTTTTGTATTTGAACTAGCCAACAGCTAAATATATAATTTACAGTTACGAGAGAGGATCCTAGTTAACAAGGAGCGGATTTACGTAGGGTTCGGGGAGCTCAAGCCCCACCGGAATTTATGATATAAACATTGGTTAACTAATTATCAACGATCTCTCTTGGCATGATAGCATGTGACTGCCCTAATCCTTTGCTATCCAAGTTCGAGGCTCAATTTTTAATCTATTTTATCAATTTATTATACACTCTCTAACTTTTTTGTTTAATGTATTTTGTTGATTTTTCACCCACACCAATCGCACAAGAAAAAAAGTGAAACTTACCTAATTTGTCAATTTTTAAAAGGACAAAATCATAAAATTAGTGTTTCTTTTCCTTCTTATAGGAAAATTGAAAATTTTCTCTATATAAATAGGTTAATTTTTGAAAAAATAAATAAGAGAAAATATATTCGTTGATGGATAATTAAAACTTTAGTTTAAGTACTTTTTTTGTAAACATTTTTAAATGATGCCTCCACCATGTCTTTTTTAATTTATACATAAACATTGTCCTCTTTGGAGCTTATTTTTATTTTCGGTTTGTATGTTGTGATTACAAAGAGATAATATCGCACTGAATTTATCTCAAAAAAAAAAAATCTTACTAATTATTGTAATGCTTTTTTGAGGATGATTTTATAAAAGAAAAACTAAGCAATTGGGAAAAATGGTTCTAAGGACGATTTTATAAAACTACAAAAAAGAATTTATTAAAGTCTTAAAAATGCATTTAACTAAAATAATTATTTTCCAAAGAGAATACGTCATTTGCTTGAGAAATCTTCAACCTTACTCAACTGGTTGAATGCAATATATCTTTAACTAAAAGATTGGAGATTTGAATCTTTGTCCGCACATGTCAATTGAGCTAAAATAAACTCCAATGTGACGAATAAAATAGGTTGTGATATTCATTAATTCTTCAATTTTCTAGTGTGCTATGAACTCGATCATCAAAAAATATGTGTGGTATATGTCTTTTAGGTTTGGTATATATGAATTATGAATTTGAACTTGGTATATAAATATAAATAGACATATTCTAAGAATATTCATTAACAGTTCAATATCATCCTCATATGAAGATATTCTAAGCATATTCATTAACAATCAACATCATCATCTTTTTCATGATTTAACAAATACTTTTAACTTTATTGATTTTGAAACCCAACGAGGTTTATTAATTAACCAATAATTTTCTTTACCTAAAATTTGAAATGAGCATCAATTTATATTTTAAAGAGAGGCAATTTTTTTTTTTTTAAAAGATCCAAAAATTAACTAGAAATAAAAATGGTGTTCTGAATTACCTTTTCTTGAGAGAAAATGATAGGTCACTTTAAATCAAAGAATCATTCTTAAAACTTTTAAGCTAATTATATGGATTTATTATACACAAATACTAAGATTAAGTTTGGAATTATTTTGAAGAAAGATAAAAAGTACTTTTAGCTAATTAAAAATACTTTTCAAAAATTTCATGTACATCTACTTACGTGTCTAAATTGATTTTTAAAAAATTTTAAAATAGTTTAGTTCTTTTACGGAATTTTTTTAGTGATTTTGAAATTAGTGTTTCTTTATATGGTGTGGGTAAATAAAAAGAAAATACTTAAAAATATTATTCTAAAAATTATCCGAACGCAATCTAATTAATCATGGAAAAAGGGAAAAAAAAATCTAATTTACAAGGAAATACACGTAAAGAATGTTGGAATTTCTCCATGTATCCTGCTCTAGAGACTAGCTAGTCACCCCCACTTCAACCAACTTAGAGTTAATATTGTCTAAGCGTATTGGTTTTACCAACTATTATTAAGAGATCGTACAGTTCTGGAGGTCGATAGAAATTTTGATGTTTCGATTTTATTAGAAATATCGATGTAAATATCAATGAAACGTCGGTGTTGATATTTCTAGAAAGATTATAAAAATATTTAAATCAACCAATATACATTCCACTATTTCTATATAAATCAAGAATGTGATTGGATTACCTCGTATTCTCACTATGTTCCACAGTCTCGAGCTCTCACGGATCGCACGGCTAGCTATTCGCAGTGTACCTCTTGGACCCCTTCCCCAGGTTGGTTCAAGTTGAACACTGATGCCGCCTACGTACGACAGCTCTCATCAATGAACCAATTTGGGACTCATTATTCTCTAAGGGCGATTTGAACTCCATTCGCTCTGGCATGTACGTGGCCAATCACAGGATTTGACTCCATTCCCCCCTACTTTATCCTAGTCTCATTAGATCAATAAACCACCCATGATGGTTAATGAAATTATTGTAATTAAACTATAAACCTTAAACCCTAAACTATCGATAAATCATCAGAGTTATTGTAACTATATCTTCACGATATAAAGATTCAACCATGGTAACAATTTCGTAATTATTCTATAGGTTAATTTCGCTCAAATTTGAAATAGATTTCCATGGTCAACTCAATGCTTATTGGTGTAGGTAGCCCATTGTTCCTATAGAAGATAGATTATATTACAATATGAAAGGATTTAATATGATGACATAGAAATGGGGGTTTGGTGGTTTGTCCAACATGCATCTTTAGAAATGGAGAAATAATTGGAAAATTGAGTGCATACAAAGATCATCACCAAATTAAAGATAAAAAGGCAGTAGTAGTGTGTGACATATAATGGAATTGATTAAAGTGTGTAACGACACAATATTTTCAAAAGGGTTTTCAACCATTATGCTTTTCTAAATTTAAATTATATATAAATTCACCTAATAAAGCAAACCTTAATATATGTAGAGAGAGAAATGGAAGTAACTTGAAGTATACGCAAACAATAGCTCTAATTCTCTCTCTCTCTCTCTCTCTCTCTCTCTCTCTCCTCTATTTGATGATAATGGTTTCAAATTTTATATCTAAAAGTATGTTAATTAGGAGTAGCACTATAGGGTGGAGTGGAATTAGAGAAGGCGTCTACGTCTTGTACTCTATATCCACTCATTTCTTTTGAGAAAATTTTAACCTAAAGTTTTTTAATTTTATCAAATTGGACTCTAAACTCTGATGAGTCAGTGAAATTAGTTCATTCTCGTCTATTAAAAGATGGGGCAGTGGTAAGGGCATGTGGCCTTGTGATATCATCTATCATGAAATCTTATATTTGAGTCTACTCTGTCACAGTGTTGTTCAGCCCAATGTAATGAGCTCGATTATAGGGATCTATTAGGCTAAGCATAAGGTCACACTCTGCTATAGAGTTACCTTAACTTTGTAAACCAACCAATTAAATTACGTAAAATTTGGATGGAAATCAAGCAAACACAAATATCCAAATTCAGAACTATATAAATACTTTAATTTAATAAAAAAATTGAGTATGTAAAAATGAAATAGTTCTTGAGCTCATATATGTCAAATGTTAAATTACAAGTTCAGTCTCTAAACTTTTAGAGTTGTAAAAGACACCTCTTTAAACTTCCAAAATTTTGTGTTTAGTAAGCTACTAAACTTTCAAGTATCTTCTAAATTTTCAATTTTGTGTTTAATAGATTCACAAAATTTCTTCCAATTTTGCATCTTCCAATGAATTCCTGAAATTTAAAACTGTGTTTGACAAATCCTACGCCTTTGAATTCAGTGTCTCATAAATCTGTAAATATTTAAAAATTAAAAAGATCTTAATAAGCACTTTGTAAAGTTTAAAAATAAACATAAGTCTAAAACTTCGAAACCAAACTTATAATTTTAACTTACCTGGTTAGTTTTGTTAAAACGAGTATAGGTCAGCGATAATTGACACATATCTCCAATCGAGGTTGTGAGTTCGATCCCCCACCCACATGTACTTAAAAAGAAAAAAACTTACTAGCTAATTTCAACTAAACGATACCCAACACACACCCGTAACAACCATATCATAGGTACAAAAATTGTTGAATCCTACTCCTCCCACAGAAACACTAATAAAACCTCAACTAATTAATTGAGATTAATTATTAGGGTCTAATTTAATAAAAAACAAAAATTAGGTAAGGGGGACGAGGTTGGTTTTGAGACACGAATGCATGTAGCTGAAAGAAAATTCCATGCTTTAATTTTGTGTTGTGACGTTGCATTACCCCTACGTATCGCTCTATTTATATTTAGTGGAGAGATGTTTCATAATCTCTTCATGGACGTAAAAATAATAATAATATTTATTATTATTATTATTTTAAAAAATCCTCTCTATAAAAGGGGAGCTGAATGGATCAGCCACTGCAACTGCACTGCACGTTTATCTCCGGCGCCGGCGGTGTAATAATATGGAGCAGCCCGCCGGAAATTTGAGTCATGCAAAGCCATTTTTTGCAGTGATTCTTCAGCAGTTCATCACTGCCGGAATGGCCATCATTTCCAAGCTCGCTCTCAACCAAGGGATGAACCAACACGTGTTGGTCGTCTACCGCTACTCCATTGCCACCGTCTTCGTCGCTCCCTTTGCCCTCCTCTTCGAAAGGTGCTCTCTCTCGCTTCTCGCTTGACGTTAAAAATATAAATAAATGATTAGGTAGGAAATATTAAATTTACAGTAACTTATCAGCTTAAACTTGTTAACGGTGAATGACAGGAAAGTGAGGCCGACAATGACGTGGTCCACATTTGGGAAGATTGTGTTGTTGGGGTTATTTGAGTAAGAACTGAAGGCTATTAAATTATGATTTGTTAGGGCATTGTTAAAATATTTTGTAAAATTTGATGAAATGAAGCAATGGATGACGCAGGCCAGCACTGGACCAGAATTTGTATTACACAGGAATGAAGTACACCACGGCTACTTTTGCATCTGCTATGACCAATATGGCCCCAGCATTTGTGTTCCTTATGGCTTGGATTGTCCGGTAATAATTTAGAACTCGTTTCGTAATGTTTTTGTTTTCAAGTATGATAAAATTATCTTTTTATTTATATTTTGGAATAAATTGGAAATGGGAAGAAGAAAAAATAAAGTTATTTTGATTGTTTCCAAAATTTCTATATAATTTTGAGAATGTTCAAAAAAAAAAGTGAAACAAAAAATATAGATAGTTGCAAAATGTTTAGATTTCTTAAGAAAATTAAAAATGAGAAAGAAGAAACGAAAACGTTACCGAACGAACTCTTAATATTAATGTCTTTTTCTAATAATAATAATAATAGTAATAATTTTTTATTATTTATGAGACTCGCTGTTGTTATCATAATCATATCTTTAATGAGTCTAACTCTATGCTAACAAATGAGTCTTTCTCGAAAAAACTCTATGCTAACAAATCATTTCGAGTCGAGTAAATTATTATGGACCGAGTTATATAAAATTGGTAGGTTTCGATTTTATGAGCAGACATGTTTATGTCATCAAATTAAAACGTGTATTACTTTTAACCTTAATATAAAGATTAAAAGATGAAGTTGTTTAAATATATGTATAAGACCAATATATCTTGACCTATCAACTTAAATGGTAAAGTTTAGTAATAGTTTAATATGGTGTTCAAATAAGAAGTCCTGATACATTCAGGTCTCTACAATGTCATTTCTTCAATAACATATTAAATTTCATGAATCAAATAAATATACGAACCCTCACAACCTTTTTCTTCTCTGTTTGTTTAGGCTTGAGAAGGTTAACATAAGGCGGACCGAGAGCCAGGCGAAGATTTTAGGTACAGTGGTGACTGTAGGAGGGGCGATGGTAATGACTTTGGTAAGAGGACCGATCTTAAATCTGCCATGGACAAATCACAACCACCATCAAGCTTCCGCAACTACAGCCAACCAGCAAGATCTCAAGGGTGCTCTCATGATCACTTCAGGCTGTATTTTTTGGTCTGCTTTCAATGTTCTTCAGGTAAACCCTTTTTTCCATAATTTTCCATCTGATATCTTGATGAAGAGATTCACATTTCAATCTATAACATTGGAAATAGCATACAGAGGTATAACATAACATTTTACTCCTAAAAAAGTTCTTATAACAATGGTGAATTCATCAAAATATTTGACAAGAAACAAGTTGTTACACCTACATACACACGACGATAAATAGAAATAAGGAAACAGGACACAAAATCATTATCAAATGACCCTTTTTTTTCTGATTTCCTTTAATCTTCCAGGCAATTACCATAAAGTCATACCCAGCTAGACTCTCCTTAACAGCTTGGATATGCTTCACTGGCGCCGTGCAAGCTACAGTGATAGCTTTAGCAATGGAATGGCACAGCCCTGCAGCCTGGTCATTGCATTTAGATTCCACCCTCTTAGCTCCTTTATACAGTGTAAGAAATCATCAACAAGAACATAAGCAGTTTGGAAAATTTTCATGCAGTTCATACTCCCCTGTTTCTGACTAGAAACTCAAAATCAAAGGTTTTGTCTATTGTAGGGAATCATGTCTTCAGGGGTTTCATATACCATTCAAGCAGCGGTAATGAAGACAAAAGGACCAGTTTTTGCAACCACATTTAGTCCCCTGAGCATGGTTATTGTTGCAATTATTAGTTCGTTCATACTATCCGAGATATTGTACTTAGGAAGGTAATTAACCTGTCTATTGCACTAACCAAATGCAGAATTATTGGTAGATTTTTGTGATAATGGTCTAAGAGATAATCTTTTGCAGGATTATTGGAGCAGCTGTAATTATTACAGGTCTTTATTTAGTTCTGTGGGGTAAAAGCAAGGATCAGACTCCATACAATTCAGCAAGTGAGAAGATGGTCCCATCAGATCAGAAAATGACTGCAATAACTGACAAACCTAAGACTACAGAAAAAGAACTTGTAGTCGATCTAACTAGAATAAGAACAGTGGATGATTCGGTTTGAGATCATCTACAAAAACCATCATTGAAACTTTTATATAGCCATATGATGGGGTTAGGAAATGCTCCAGGAAGCCAATTCTCTCTGCTGTTGTCTTCTTTGTGCGAATTAGGAAGGATGTCCAATATGCCCGTGTATAAATGAGTCAAATTGTAAGGTAGTAGATCTCGGGTCAAATTATTCTGAAATGGACTACTCCTGATTCTTCATTTATAATGTATTTGAGCTAAATCGCAAAAGTCAATTCATATCCAAACGTCATAATCCATTGATATGCCAGCTAATTTTCTGCAGAAATTTGTAACTAAAACTAAAACAAGGACATTAAATTTGTTCTATGGTCAGGGTACTCTCTGATGCAGAAATCAGTAGACATTCTGTATTAAACAGAGATAGAGGAGAAATTCATTGAGATTTAAAAGTTATCCTAAAAGTCAGCTGGTAAGACCATGCAAGTGAGGTATATTTATATGCAAGCTTCGTAATTTGAAAGATGTGAATGAATTGGTATCTTACCCTGCCTTTAATCTCTCATGACAATAGACACAATTATTAACATATAGCTTCAAATCTTAGCAGTTGTTACAATTCTTGTCATCACTGAGTACACGAACAAACTAAATTGCTGATCATCCAAACAAGGGAGCATTTAGGATCATTCAACATTTGCCATCAATATCAGGGTGCACTCACTCAAAGAGATCAAAATGACCAGAAATTATTGCATTTCCAGCAAAATTTTCTTAGAAACTTCACACCTATGGATCCAGCTAAAGAATTCGTTATGAGGAATTAACAGCGGTAATGCAGCCCCCTTCAATTGCAATGGAACTTACAGAGTGATGATATGGCATGGTGCTTCATTTTTCAGGATCATTTTCTTGATTGGGAGTCCCAAACTTCTGCTTAAAAGAATCCTGCCTCTGCAACCACATCATGTGCCCCTGTAACAGTAATTCCCCACATTTAACTTCAAAGTTCAAATGGAGCACAGAATCCAAGGCAGCTCGCAGCTCTACAACAACAGATGGTTCGAGTGGGAAAACAAAGCGGTAAAGTTAAAACCCTAAAACAGGGAACGAACCTGGAGAGCTGCGGCCCAAGCAATAAGGAAGGAGGCGAACCAGAATTTCTTGTCCTTGAGAAGATTCTTCACATCCATCTCCCCAAAACCCTAACCCTAAACCACTTGAGATTCCACCACCCAGGCAAATTTGCGCCCAACAGATTTACCTCACAATCTGAACAAGTTCGTCAATTGCGCTCCATGATTTTACGATGTAGTGCAGCCTCTGTCGACATGTCGTTTTCTCCGACTGAAGCACAAAAAAATAATATCACTCTCTTTGAGAAATTTCATTTGGGATTATTTGAGAGAGAAATAGCTTTCTACTTTTTCGTTTTCCAAACTTCAATTGAGAAGTTCCCCGACTTATATTGTATATTTAAAATAACTATTCATGAGTCTATAACTTCTTTTAAATAAAAATATATATATAAAAAAATGTCAGCAAATCTAGTCTATTCAACTAATAAAAGCATGTATTTCAAACCAAAAAATATTTTGTTCGAACATGTACCCTCACATGTAATAGTACTTTATTTATATATATATATATATATGTTGAAGGGCTAACATATCTTTATTAAGTACAATGTTAAAACTCAAAAAGCATGCAACAATGTGTATAGTGGTCATGGTGAACATGATCCAATAATTAAGGTATCAATAATCTTTTCTGCAAGCTGAAGATTCAAATTCTCACCTTTTCAACATATTCTAAAAATAATAATTATAGTACATGGTAGTGTCAATTATCTACGGTTGAACTTTATTGAAAAAAATAATTTTTATTCAGAATTATCATGATTATTAGAGAGACAAATATATTGCTGGTCGGACACCACCTATCGTTGTTAAACTACCAATTTATTCATTGATAAAGATAATTTTTTTAGTTATAGTTTTAAAAATAAAATTATAAAACTTAAGCTTCCTAAATGAAGGATCTCATTAATGTAACGCTTAGTTGGAGGCATCATACCGTCAAAATAATAATAATAATAATAGAGGCATCATAATGCTTGGGGTATTAAATATACTTAAAAGAGAACCACAAACCTCAAAACCACCCCAAAAAAAGTGTAACAAAATCAAAGGAATTAAATCAAACATTTAATTTGATTAAGACATATATTTTTAATTAAGAGATCAAAAATTTAAATTTCCACCTTGTTAAACTCATAATAAAAAATATGTATAGTAAAAAATCTTGATTTTAAGAATTTAAGTTTGATTTCATTGTTAGCTAAATAGGATACTTTTGGCAAATCTTACGAATGAAGACCAAGGATAAAGAACAAATGCAAAAGACTTGGATCGACAAAAGTCAACGACTTACCTACAAAGATATAAGGTGTGACAATTCTTACTAACTTTTTGATATGACAAATTTTTATTGGCTCACAAATTTTAAAGAAATCTACTTGTCAATAGAAATGGACCAATAAAAATATGCCACGTCTAAAAATCAATAGAAGTTAAATATTGTGCTAAGTTTTTTTTTTGTAAGGATGAAACATTTAGGGCCTCCCTAAGCCACAAAAATTTAGTTTATTAATGAGTTTTCAACCGGAAAACGTCCATAGAATAGAAAACCCTCCAAATGAGTATTCAAGAAAAGCTAAGAAGTGATTTCATATACATGAAAATACCAGGATTTGAACTAGTTTATGTGTATCTCAACTAATCTACTCGATTAACCGAACTCTACTCGACTAATTGAACCCTTGGACTCATTTACGAGTTAATTTTAAGCCTAGGAAGATCCAAGGTTTCAAGAAAGTCTACGAAAACTCCAAACTTCGACTTATCCAGCATTTGTTGTTGTCTTTGTTATGATTTTGTGCTTAAAAGTCTTCGTTAAATATCAATTGAATAATTCTCAATCATTTTCGGAAAACCAAATTATATTTAGAAAATTTTATCAACTCTTACAATTCTATCACAGTGTAGAAAACCGTGTGCATTTTTGTCCAATTTTTCATCTAAATAATTCACACAAAATCTTACGACTCTGTGAGACCCACAAGCAAGGGAGCTTTAACAGATAAAACCCAACGACTATGTCTCCATAACTACCTCATTAATAACCATCTAAATCATGAATCACCCACAAGATCATAAACAAATGTTCATCTAAAAGAGAGTCATTTTCCTAGTCAAAATCCACCCTTTTGTAAGAACTGAATCAGATATCAGTTGAGAGATCAAAACTTCAGAAAAAAGGTTGATTTCATAAGAGTTTGAAAAAGAAAAAAACCAGAGTTTTGCGAGGAAAATGGATGGAAATGGGGAAGATTTGATCAGCTACTTACCAGATGAGATTCTGAGGCTCATAATTTCCCTTCTTCCTTTTGAATCAGCAGTTCAAACCAGCCTGCTTTCTTCTCGGTGGAGAGCGCTGTGGAACTCGGCTTTGGTGCGCTATGGAGCCATTGAAGGGGTGGCTGATGAAGTTGCTTCTTTTTGCAATCAGTTCAGTGAGCTTCCTATAAAGCATCCGAGAAGACTTCAATATCACTTTGGCAGAGATGATGTCCTTTTAGCTTCCATTGCAGCTGATGATAAGCTTCACTTGGATTTCTCTACTGGGAAGTCGGAGTTTCCGTGGCAGTTCGATTGGGAGCTGAAGTTTAATAACCAAAATCTGTCTCCATCTGCCTTTTTTGTCAAATATCTGTGTCTTAAATCAGTGAGTTATCTTACAAATGACGCTGTTTCCTTGCTAGTTTCAAATATTCCGTTTCTCGAGAGCCTGAGGATCACTCAGTGCAACGGATTCCGATCACTATGCATTGGTTCGAGTCCAAAACTTCAGAGGCTGACTGTCTTGGATTGTCCAGATTTGAGACTTGTCCATATCAGGTGTTCCAAGCTGAGATCCTTCCGGTATCGAGGACAGCTTCCACGGATGCGTCTTGAAAGTCATTTTAATTTGCAGGATGCGATGCTTGATTTCAGACAAGGTCCTGGATGCAACAATTTGAAGATTAGTGACTTTGATCCAACCCTATTAACCATAAAAAATGCTACTATTCTTACACTATGTAAATCGAATGATGAGGTAAATTTGTTACTTTATCTAAAGAACTTGATTAATCTATGATATCTCATCTTTTTCATCGTACAGTAAAAAAGTAAGGTCTATTTCTTCTGTTGCAGGCACTGATCTGGCCTTCTCTGTCTTCTTTACAAGGAAACTTCATATTTTATAATCTGAAAGAGCTGTGGTGGATTGATTATTCCAATGAGGGATACAATAGCAATGCCTTGGTCACCTTCCTCCAGATGTGTCCCACCTTAGAGCGGCTCTTCGTCACGGTATGTCTCATTCCTTCCTCTTCTATTTTCTTGACGATTAAATCCATCATCTGGGGTTAGAGTTCAGTCAGCAATCTGCAGGTACGACATTTGACAACCATGCTAAAATCTTCCTTGCCCCATTAACTGTATTTACATTAATGTCAAGGTCCTCTATGTAAACTCTATGCAGATTGATCCTAAAAGCTACTGCACACCAAGCAATGCAACATACTCAAAAAATGTCTTGAGGCAATCCAAATCGAAACATCTAAAGCTTGTAATTTTGAAGGGATTTACGGATCATAATGAAGAGATCTCATTGATTAGACAGATAAAAGAGCTGGTTTCTGTGGATCCATTGTTCGTGTCAACAAATGAACAGAACAGCTTGGAGAGTTTGGTTAAAATTCCTTCCAATCACTTGAAATCAGAGAGTTTTATCAGCATCAGAGCAGCACCACATGAATCAGATGTAAGTAACTCTTTCTCTAAGTTAAAAGATGACGTGGATCAAACGACACCTAAACATCCTCACATGAATCTTTAGTTACCAAAATCTTACAGTCAGTTTGCAACAACAATCATCATTATCCTTGTTTGGCTCTATTATTCTGCTGCGCCAAATTTCGATTGTTGAGTTCTGTAAATACAGTCTATGGAACCTATATGAAAGTTTGAAACTAGTTTTTTCTTACAAATTAAAATGACATCTCAGGATTTCTACCTAGCTCAATAATAGTTGTGAATAATTGCTTCCTAAACCAATCCTATTTGGAACTCTCTTTTGACATCCAAAGACCTTTTCAAAGTACTCAAGAACTCGAGGGCCAAAAGGATTGAGTCTGAGCCATTCAGCTTAACTTGAACAAACTTTAGACGCAACAAAATTGTATAGAGATGTGAACAAAGCGGAAAAGATTTATTTAGGTGAAACTGCTAGAGGTTCATGTTCAGATTGAATTTCAATCTATGGAAAAGAAAGCAAGTAATAAATTAATATTGAGAAGGCCAGACCCATCAGGTTTGCCAACTTAGATCAATGATCCTCTCCAAGGTTCAATATTTAAAGAGATAAGATCTTGCATCAATCATTATCAGCCAAAGTCCTTGAGATTTAAGGTCAGCTCCTGGCACTTTCTCGTTTGTGTTATTTTATATAACAGGTAAATCCTAATTGGTTGGCTTTGCTCATGAAAGATCCATAGATAAAAAGTCTTTGGAATAAAATAAGCTATCCATATAATCTCTGACTGATTCTTTGTTAAACAAAATCTTCAATGGGACATCAACCCAAAAAATATAAAGAAAAGGAATCTACCCTGTTGAACGAGGGAAAAAAATAATAAAAAACATTCCTGATTTGACAAGCAGAAGTTGAAAGGAAAAAAAAAACTTCAGTCCGAAATTGCAGCTCAAAATCCATCTGCTTGTCCCAAAGGCATTCTCTCCAGTACATCTTCTAGGCTAGGGGCAATGGTTCTAAAAATCATTGTACTGTGTAAGAGGCTCATGCATGGCATCGCAGATAAAGATGGTGTCATAGACAATGGCGGCAATGGCCGCACCAGCCATTGGACCAAGCCAGTAGACCCAGTGATTAGTCCACGACCAGCTGACTACAGCAGGGCCAAAGGAGACTGCAGGGTTCATGGAAGCGCCATCAAAAGCACCACCAACCAAAATGTTAGCACCCACAATGAAACCAATAGCAATTGGTGCAATTATGCCCACATTCTCCTTCTTGGGATCTACTGCCGTTGCATAAACTGTATACACTAATCCAAAAGTCATCACTGCCTCAAAAATAAATGCATTCCATACAGAAACTCCTGATGACAAGGAAAATGCTGGTGTGGCCTGCGTTTCATTACCAGCCACATTTTATATATTGCAGACACAAGACAAGGGAAAGATTGGTCTAGGGAGTAAATTATGTAGTCCACATGCCTATTAAGATAAGATAATCACATGTCTCATCCATATAGTTTGTATCATCAATTCCACAAAACTAGCAAGGATAAAATTTTCTGAGTTTTTCGAATTATAAAGGCATTTGAAATAATTTTTTAAATATAATTAATTTTCATTGGTCCCTAAACTTTGTAGAGGTTTATTTTGATCCTAAACTTTTAAAAAATAACTAGAACTTTCAAAAGGTCTATTTTACACAACAAACTTTTGAAAAATAATAATTTTAGCCCTTGCAGATATTTTGTCCATTAATATCCTCATTAATATCCACTCACCTAACTTACCCCACTAACTTATGTGGCTCCAATATATGTTCATGTTACTAGGTTACATATCCATTTGTTGAAGGCAAAATAAAGATTTGGACTAAAATATGTTTCTCTTTTTTCCAATTTAAGACTAAAATAGATATTTTAAAAGTTAGAAGAGACATTAAAAACATTTAAAAGGACCAATATGCAGGCAAAAAAATATGTTGTTCCTGATTAGTTTTTGCAGCTTCATTACCTGGCCACCGGTGGCAAATTTAAGAAGGTAGCAGGCAACAACAGAACCAAGCAATTGAGCGATCCAATACAAGATGCTTCTAAAAAACGATATGTTTCCACCAACGAGTACACCAAATGTAACTGCCGGATTTACATGACCCCCGGAGATATTGGCTCCGACAGAAACCGCCACAAATAACGCAAAAGCGTGAGCAAGAGATGCGATTATCAGCCCCGACGGTGTCGCGGATGCACCGTCCGTTAGCTTACCTGCCAAAACAAATCTACACATCAATAGGCAAAAATTAAACTAGCAACAACTCTACTAGAAACTGTAAATCCTTCAAATTCCAGTTCACAAAAAAACGGTCAAATAACTCATTATAAAATCCTAATTGACTACAATGAGTTCAGTTATCGAAAGAATCGACAAGTTATTGAAATTCAAAAAAAAATGCGCAGCAAAGAACATTGGATGCACGATTCAAACCGTAGAACTTACTGAAAGCCAAGCCGGATCCTTGTCCGGCGAAAACAAATATGATCATGGAGAAGAATTCGGCAAATGCGGCCTTTATCGCGTCGGGTTGGCTCGCCTCTCCCGGAGTCCCGAGTGTAAATTTATGAATTGGCATTTTTCAGTTCAAGGGATTTTAGAATTTGCCTTTTCACTGAATAATTTTTTTGCTTAATGCTTATGGTTTGTATTTCCTTGTTCCTCCATTGTCCCTTTATATACCAGAAATAACCGCTTCGTAACCGGCAGAACCAGTTGCCAGTAAAGCTTACAGTAGGGGGTATTCTACGACCACCGGGTCGGTGACACACCAGCTACGGGACGGGGTCATTGGCGGGCTGCCACGTGTGTGGCGGTGATGAAACTTCGGTGCCGTTGAATAGGTGCCGAGGAGATTTAGGATCGCCGATCATTGAGTATGTAGATTCCATCTTTCAAAAGCTTTCTTTCATTTTTTTATTTTTTTATTTTTGGTTTTTTAGTTCATATCTTCTAAAAGTTGTGGAGACAATCCTATTATCCATTTTTTGACTTAGATCTTAGTATTTCAACTTATATAGATGTGATGTCTAATGAAGAGGCTACATTCGTGAATCAAGGCTTAATTTTGAAATTTTTATGGTTGAGTCATCGAGAAAAGATATAAGTAGTAATTATATTTCTCAATCATTCTTTTCATCCATATATCTCTCCTCTCTCCTCAAATGTCACATGCCTACCAGCTTTCGTCTGGTTCGTCCCCAAACCACATCGTGCTGGAAAAAGTTCTACATACCATTTTGTAGTCCGAATCCTGGACTTTGGACGCTACAAAATTGTTATTGTTGTCCAAAAGTATGATAGCCCTTGTATATTATCTTCCAGCCAAGTTCAAAGTAGCTTCATCCCTCTTTTTTAGACAAGTCGACTTTCGTGGTCTCTTTCATAAATAACAACAAAACCTAGAAAGATTATATTCGTCCCTTAAGTTTACAAATAATGATATGATACTTCAACTCTTGATCTGGTAGTTGTTATATTGAAAAAAATAAATTGCTATACTCTTGGTTGCACCTCTTTAGAGGCCCTTCTCTTCTACCTTTGAGTTTGGAGAACATCCCCATTTGAAGAGGAAAAATGTCTCGAAGTTAAATTTATCCCCTAAAAATTATAACATTGGTGAATTCATCTTTCGCGACATTCTCCCTACTCTAACCTTAGGGATAAAAAGTACTTCTTTTAAAATTTCAAAGACTAAATCCACATTTACCATTTGATACTACGGGACTCACTCCCTTTGTTTATGCTACAATTTTTTTATTTATAGGTAATCTTTTAATATTAGTGAATTTCACATCATTTTCAAATGATATTGACGTGTCACACAATAAATGACAGTATAATCTATACTACAATAGTATTGGTAATTTTGTTTATCCATGTTCATTTTTCGTAGTTGTTTTTCCACGAACACAACAAAAATGTTTTAGGTACTAAAAAAGAAAGTTTTAGAAGTTTATTTTATTTAATAAAAATAGATATTTGAAATAAAACAAATATTATAAAAACACTTAAAAAAAATTTCTCACTTTATCCTTTTCAAGCATTTACAACATTTCCCAAAAGGGAGGAAACAACAGAACAGAAGAGCCTTCAATATGACCACATAAACCCAACCCGATCAGATAGTATTCTGAGTTTCAATTTTCCATTTTCCATTTTATGAGAGCTTCTCTCAGTCAGATATGGCAGTTTCAACCTCATGCTTGAGTTGGGTTCCGACCACCGCATCAAATTTGAAGGTTGGTGTATTCATTTACTGATCTTTCAGGACCCAATTCTTGTGTCTCATTGTGCTTTAATTCCAGCCGAGGTTGCTTCCTTTCAATGACCTGCTATCACCAGCCTCTTGTTCATTTTCTTCGTGTAGTACCATCATTTGCTCCACCGAGAGAACTTCCCCTGAGGAAAGTAAGATTTGCAACCTTGAGTTTTATGGTTAATTCCAATGCTTAGAGTTGAAGAATGTGGTTTTTTCTTCGATTTCATTACTTGTGCGATGAGAATACGTATTTTGGTACATAATCTGATTGCTTATTCTTGGAATTCGTTAAGATTTATAGGGCTGTGTGGAATCATATGAAAATAGCATGCAAGGTGTTTGTACAAATGTCTGAACCAACTGGACTATTACGGAAGAACACAGTGTCCCCCAGAAATTCTGTTTAGATCTATTTGCGTTTTAGAGATTCTCCTGAGATTGCATTTTCATTGTCTTTATTCAATCATTATCTGTTATTTTCTTGGTCGAACATCAACTTAGTGAGAAGTGGTCATGGTACCAAGCAAAACGATGACTTCACTTCTGTTGTTTTTATAGTGGGATTGTTCACTTATTGATGAATTTATTAAGTTCTACTTGGTATTTTTCTTTTCTTTCCATTTAGGTGTTTTTTTCTCTCTGTTCTCTTGAACTTGGAGGTCTTTATTGCCTGTGGTAATATGATGTTGATATTAATATTTAGGCCATTGCTATAGAAGGCCGCTTCTATTGGGAGTTGGAGCACTAGCTACAAGTTTACTCCCTGCAAGTTCCCTCTTTGCCGAAGGTACTGTCTTTGCCCCTAAATCCACTTCTCTTCAATAATTTAATGTTGCATTCCAAATTAATATTGTGATTTGTATGTGCAGAAGTCCCGAAAAATTATCGAGCTTTTGTAGACTCCACAGATGGTTATTCCTATTATTACCCTTCTGACTGGAGGGTAAGAAAATTTCAACAAGTAGAAACATGAGACATATCTGTAGGAAACAAAAGAGTATACTAAAACAAATAATTTCTACATGTTCGCTATCTAGGAATTTGATTTTAGAGCCCATGATTCGGCATTCAAGGATCGATACCTGCAACTACAGAATGTTAGAGTTAAGTTTATACCAACTGAGAAAAGGGATATCCATGAAGAAGGTCCGATAGAAGAGGTAACAGAATCTTCGATTCAGATCATATTGATATTCTGAAGAGAAGCTTGAATAATTGAACTTGACTTGAGCAGGTTGTTAACTTTTTGGTAAATCACCGTTATGCTGCACCAAATCAACAAGCTACCATATATGACATGAAGGAGGTTTGCATCTTTCTCAGTCTCTCCACATCAATATTTCCATATAATATTATCCTGAGGTCTGTTTCTGGACATCTGCTTGATTTTTTATTTACCTGTTTCAGCGAACGATTGATGGTAAAATTTATTATACTTTTGAGTATAAACTTAGTTCTAGAGCGTACTCCCGGACCTCCTTTGCAACTATAGCAATTGGAAACGGTAAGCTCATATTCTGTACCATTTGAATTTAGGGTCCTTCCTTTCATTGATTTTTCAGCTCTAACTCCCATACTTCTTGATCATACGATAATTTTTTACCCAAAATGTTAAAGAATATTTAAGTGAACTATTCAGTTCAGAAAGAGATATAAGTGGAAAAACTTTCAAATCAACGTTGACCAAACTCATTTGATCTAGTTGTATTCTGCTATCTTAAAATAAATTCTTATCTAGTCTATATTTTCTGGAATCGCTACGGTTTGTTTTGAGTTAAAGTTCTCAAATTCGAGCTGAACTCTTGCTCTTGTATATTTAGATGAGTGGTACACGAACAAGGTAACTTCCAATTGTTAAAACAACTAGTTAAGATATTATTTACCTCTAAAAGTAATCCCGTTGCTTGTAATACGCATGCAGGTAGATACTATACCTTGGTAGTTGGGGCAAATGACAGAAGGTGGAGAAGGTACCGCAACATGCTTAAAGTGGTTGCAGACTCATTCAGGGTGTTGGATATATAAGCTGTTTCTGAAGGATGTGAATTTGAATAAGCACTATTGGTTTTTGTTGTATAGTTGGTATATACCTATCTCTTTGTAAGGTATATATTTTCAAGAGCTCAAAATCGTTGATTTGTTGAAAACAAAACACCCTTCTATTTTACTTCCCACTTGAGCTCAATAGCTGAAACTTAGACTTTGTTTAACAAAATCAGAAAAACGGGGAAAAGAAGCATTAGGTTTCACAGGTTTAAAAAGGTCAAAATGTTCGATAATTTCGAAGTCTCATAGCTAGTAAAGAGCGGGAGAGATAAAAAAAAGTTCTATATGTTTGAATCGAACGATGCAAAATCTTGTGGGATGATACTACGTCAAAGTCTCATTCCTGTTAATCAATGAAAAACCTTAAAGGGAAAAAAATGAAAAGGAAATGAATTTGTTGGGTTAAACACAACCAAAAATGAACAGCTATTTGATTAATTATAACGACGTATTTACAAAGGTTACAAACGTATGCTTTCTCTTTTTAACTTCCCAAGATTCTTAGAGAGATTCATCATACAGAGAGAGAGAGAGAGAGAGAGAGAGAGAGAAAGAGTCAGTCTTTGAAGTAAAAAATAAAATTTAGAAAATGAAAAACACCACACCTAGAATTGGACCCAACTCACCCCCTACTCTAATCATCAATAAACAAATCAATATACCATGGAGACAAACCCAATGAATTGATGATTGCCTCCTAAAGAATATGGATTTAGCCCCCAAGGGAAGGCCTCACGGTCAAACTCCAAAAACCTCCTACTTCTGTACCCTAACTCTGAACAAAAGAAACTACTGCTGCTGCTGCCATTCAGTCACAATCCTCCTTTATCCGCCTTCTGCCCGACCTCAAACCTCTAGCTATGTATGAGCTACAAAATCTCTCTTTTTTTTTTTCAGAAGCTCTAACAGTGCAGAGGGAGCTAATGAAGGCAACCAAAACTAGATGAGTTTCGAACAATCAGTTCCATGTCTTAAACAAGTCGATGCTGTCGCAAACCCTTACCGAAATGTGGCTGCATCAAGCGCACATATAGGCCATTCTTGGCCACCAAGGAATCGTGAGTACCCTCCTCCACTATTCGCCCACCATTTAGTACCACAATATTGTCAACGTGCCTCATCATTGCGGCTCTATGGGCAATCAGAATGGTTGTTTTGTTTCCCATGATTAAAGTGTCGAGAGCCTCTTGCACGACCCGACTTGACTCGGATTCGATTGAGGAACTTGCCTCGTCCAACAATAGGATAGGTGCATTCTTCAATACTACCCGAGCGATTGCGATTCTCTGTTTCTGCCCCGGGGTTAGATCCACACCCCTCATGCCTACATGTGTGTCATAACCATGAGGCAGGCTACTAATGAAATGGTGAGCGTTTGCTATTCTAGCAGCCTCTTTCATTTCAGCTTCACTGGCATTATGCCTTGCATATATAATGTTTTCCCTAATGGTTGTTGAAAAGATTATAGGTTCCTGCTGAACAAGACCTAAATGATTCCGCAACCATCTCAAGTTATAGTTTTTCAAATCTCGACCGTCCAACAAAACCTGACCAGCAACAGGATCATAGAATCTCTCGATCAACGATATTATCGTGCTCTTTCCCGACCCAGAAACACCCACCACAGCCACCGTCTGCCCCCCATTGACCTTTAGACTGAAATTGCTCAATACCAAAACCTCAGGACGAGTAGGATAACAGAAATCTACATTTTTCAGCTCAATGCTTCCATAAACATTGGGTGGCTTCAGTGCAGAGTTATCATCTGGGTCAATCTTCGGTACACGATCTATGATTTCAAATACTGAAATGAGTGATTTGCGCCGTTTAAGTATATATGGAGCCAACCCAAAAGGTTCCACCAAGGCAAACGTTGCAAAAGAGAACACCATATACACTTTAAGAGCAGTGGGCAGATCCTTAGTATGATTTTGGACAGAAAGTGGAGTGTACCAGAGAAGAAGGGCATTACAGGCAAAAAGCAGAAACTGTGAAAAGCCGAATGCAAAACCAATAGCCATCCCGTGAAGGAAACTCTCCTTAAAAATTTTATTCAGTTGCAGTCTGTAGAGTTCCATAACCTTGTTTCCAGCACAGAATGCTACCACGGTGTATATGTTTCTAACTGCATCTTCAAGAACCAAAGATGCCTTCCGGTGCATCTCCTGGATGCCCCTTGAGAATCCAGCAAGCCATAACTTCTGCAATGTTTCAAAAAAATTTATCCGACAAAACTTAAATTGAAAAAATACAAAAAGGACATCATGTATTGTAAATGTAAAAATTTTTTATTTCATTGAATTATTGTTCATCCTGAAACCATGAAGAGAGAACCCAATCCAGAGGAATTCTTATTCAAAGCTAACACCACGGAATATAATCACTGGATAGAGATCATACAGAATATAACTATGAAGAAAGCTTTCTTAATTTACATTAATAGCTAACCACAAATTAAAAAAGAAAGCTAACTAAAAGCCATGCCAAAATACACATCTAAGAAACCATATAATACATCATTTTCTAAAAAAACCATGATATAGTCACAACTCTCATTCATTAAAACATGCACATTTTTTAAATTATGTTCAAATACTCTCATACATCCATACAATTTTCACATTAATAATATGTCTTAGTTTATGATATTTACATCCAAAAATGTAAAAGTGATGAAATATATAGTACTTCAATTTTGAGGATATTAGTTACATGTTTCAACTGAGCAAAATATTTGGAAAAAGATCTAAAACAATAAAAAATGTATGTATGTTTTTTCTAGTTGATTTCATCTTACAAAAAGAAATTTAAAACCAATTATGTTTATGCACTTATATTTTTTAAAGAACACTTAAAAGTTTGATGTATCACTTAAAAGTTCAAGTGCTCAATAATAGTAATAGCATATGTTCACAAGTATCTCACACGTGTCTAATATTTTTGATGAGTGTGAAATACATGTCCAAAAGGAACTAGAGCGTTGGAGTGTCTTATACACACATGTACATGGACACTGTACACTGGACACTGTACACAAACTAAAGTGTCCATTCTTCACACATATGCATATTAACACTAAAAACCCATCCTACATCACTTCAGAATTTTATCATGCACAAAATCATACATAAATGAATGTACAAACAAATCTTAAAACATTAGGAAACTAAACTCCTTTTACTACCATCTAGGAATAACAGAGCAAAAGGGTGACGTCAGAAGCCTATACATATCAATACTTAGATCCAAAGTCCTGAACCGAAGTTTAATTATCAGACACAGCAGGAAATGAACTACTGTCCGGGATTATTTTTCCCCTTTTTCCTTTGTTCATTCCCCTTTTTTAAGGGGGGTGGGTAGCAGAGAGAATGCATGTCCATGAAGTTTGCTTAAAAGGTCTGGCTGCCATGAGTTAGCATTTCCTTCTGCAAATAATTTGGAAAACGAAGAAAAGAGAAAAAAAAAGAACTAGAAAGTAAGGCATACACACCTGTGCAATGGCAGAAACAGTTAGCACTGGCAACGTTGCCAATGCCACAAGTGCCAAGCGCCATTGTAGCAACATCCCAATAAGAAGTGCCACAATGACAGCAGCACTATCTTGAATAAATATAGAAAGTCGGTTGCTAAAAGTAGCTCTTACGAATGTAGCATCGTTTGCCAAACGCATGGATAGAGTGTCTGCGCTATTTTCCTCTTCGTCAAACCATCCAACTTCATTTCGTAGCATAGCTGTAATTTTTTTTGTGGAAAGAACATGAGAAAAACATAAACCAATGTTAACCTGAAAGGCATAAAAAATATTATTCCATGTAGTAAAACTCAAACAGAGATAAAAAAATGAAATGCTCACCTGAAAACATCATTCTCCTAACTCGCTCAGTCATTTTCTCCCCCATTATTCCAAAGTAAAAATGTTGCAGAAAATTGGCAATCACTGTGACAAAGCCCATGCAAGCAATGATCAAGCACCATCTGTCTACCTCATGCCGTATGTTATGACCTTCATCCCTTCTGTAATATGCTGTTATTATCAGAGCAATTACATATGCGAGAAGAGGATTGAAAGATCCAAAGATGGCCGCACCAAGGCTTCCTAAGACGGCATACAGCCACTCTGCAAAACTAAGCTCTGCAAGCCTCCAAAAGGCTGGTGACTTTTTAAGCTTAGTATCCTTAGCTTCCTTTGCTTTCATTCGGAAGTCATCAGATTGGCTGTGCAGTCTACTGAACGTCTGTGAATGGGAACGTTCACTTTTGGGATCAGATGTCAAGAGAGGCGAAATAGGCGACTCAGGGTCTGAGCCATTTGACATTTGACGATGTGCAGACTGAACGTCAATTTTTGGCAACTCTGGGAGTCTCATTTCAAAACTATCCTGCCGCCTAATTGATGGTTCCTTGTCAACTGAAGAATCAAAGATCTGACCATTTTCCAACATCTTTTCAGGAGGGGGGCTTGGAACTTTAGGTGATTCAAGAGAGTTGTTATAAACGCCATCTGTTGGTCGGAAAACACCAGGAACTCTCTGAAGGGATGGTGATTTTGTCATTTTAGGGGATGATGGTTCTTGAACACTGTGACTTGCAGAAGAATCCTTTTCAATCTGGAAAGTTGAAGACTCCTTGTAGTTTCTGACTGGCATCCTGAATGAAGTCATGATACAGAAGCAATTCAGTGGAAGTAATGAGGAATTTCAACCATAAAGAGACATATATAGCGACTCCCAATTTTCTCTTCCAAAATAAGAAACACAACCATCGTTCAAAGATGAAAGTGGGAGAGCAAAAAGGGAAGACAATAAATCCACCCATAGCCGAAGAGTTTTAAAAAATGACCTCTACTTGGAATTTATAAACAGCAGAATTACAAATTTACAATTAACAATCTTGCTCCATGCAGAGGGAATTTTGAAGAACCCTGCTAAATTTCATTTTCAATCAATACAAGGCGGGGAGGGGATTAAACCTAGGATGCCAGTTGAGCTATCAAAACCTTGCTGTAGTTGATCTGAAGAAAAACTTTCCAACAATGGAAAATAACAAGCTGAGTTACAAAAGAAAATACACCATGTTGAAAAATTCTCAATGCTAGACTCTTCATTATAATACCTTCTGGGGAGCTTTGCAGCTTCTTCACATTTGAGAAGTTCTGTGTAAAGGCCATCAAGGCTCAACAATTCATCATGCGTACCCATTTCAACAAGTTGGCCCTCCTCCATCACGGCAATGTAGTCCGCATTCCGTATTAGACTAAGCCGCCGAGCTATTATTATTGTTGAACGTCCCAGCATGAGAAGATCAAGAGCCGCTTGCACGGCTTTTTCAGCCTCAAAATCAAGACCACCAGTGACCTCATCAAGCAGCAGAATAGATGGATTTAAAAGCACGGCTCTAGCAATTGAGAGTTTTATTTTCTGCTCCTCCATCAGCTCAATTCCAGCCCTGCCTACCTGATGATTGAAACTTTTTAAAAATAAAAAATAAAAAATAATACGGGGAAGTTGGAACTCAGAACAATAAATGAAAGTAGTTTTAGCCATAATCCTTACATGGCTTTTGGCTTACCTGTGTGTCGTATCCTTTCTCAAGAGAACTAATAAACGTATGTGCATGAGCTATTTTAGCAGCTTCCTCAATTTGATCCAGAGTAGCATTTCGCCCGTATGCAATATTATCTCGTATACTCAAACTTAGCAACGCAGGTTCTTGTGTTACTAATCCTATCTGACTTCTTAGCCACTCCAATTTCACGTTTTTAATATTTTCTCCATCCAAAAGAACTTCTCCTGCAGCAAAAAATAGGCAGATAGTTTGAGGCACTAAGAAACATCTTTCAGTTGAACCCCCAATAAAAGAATATGAAGAACCAAGAGAAGCAGAACACAAAAATTTGTACCTAATGTGGGATCGTAAAACCGCTCCATGAGTGGGATTATACTGCTTTTTCCAGATCCATTTCTCCCAACAAGTGCCACAGCTTTCTTTGCAGGCACAGTAAGGTAAAACCCACTCAAGATAGGAATTTCAGGGCGAGATAGATAGCTGAAATATACATTACGAAATTCAATATTTCCTTGAATGGAAGATGGAGTGACTCCATCCTGATTACTTGCAGATGATGACCGACTTATCATCTCAAAAAGTCTATAAGCAGCTATGCGCCCTTGGTCAAATGAATAAAAGTTTGTAGCCGCTTGGTTTAACCCACTACAGACAAATAACATACGTAAGTGAAGTTATTAATGCATTCCAGTTTCTTATCAAGAAAAAAAAAACGTACGTAAGGAAAGTAGTAGTGAGAAACAAGAATTTCAACTTTGAAGTAAATTTTGAAAAACACGCTTACAGGCCACTTAAAATTACAGCAAATAGTGCCGTTATAATCTCTCCTCCATGAGCTTTCTGATGTGTGACCAAGAACCTTCCAACCCAAAGTTGCAAAGCACAGGAACATATTGCAAGTCCATAAGTGAATCCGAGCCCAAGACCTTGCACAAGGCTTATCAATATACCGTATCTAAGAGTTGCTTGTAATGACGTTGCATAAGAATACTTGGCTAATGTTTCATTTGTGAATGCATACAACGTCCTGACATAAGAGACTGCCTGCATATTTTAAGTTTAATACTCATTTCAAAATAAAGGGCACCACACATTTTCCAAAGGTCATGTCAATAATTTTCCATTCATATTCAATGCTTATAATTTTTCATGAAGAAAAGGTTCACAGTATCACAGAATATAAAAAATAATCTTTTGCATCATTTTTAAATTTCAACTCAATTATCTCACGCAAATACACACTACAACAACTGCTCTCAAAGAAAGATTATTAGCTTTATTGCAGTCCTCAAAGATGTATAGTATCTTACATGAAGCTGTGAAAGAGGATCTAGAGCACCTTGTCATACATTATCCACTTCCAAGATTTTATTGTTCAAAAGCTTTGGAGAAATTTATTTAGCTTGATCCATTCCAATTGTATGGGATATTTTTACTCTGATTAGTGTGTGGCCTTTGTTTTAAAGAAAATCTTAGAGTCACTTGGTTTATGTCCATTGTGTCTATCTTATAGGTGACTCGAAGAGAGTAATAAAAGGTTTTGTGGGGATACAAAAGAAGAATGGTAATATTTTTTGTATCAGCTAATTGAAAAGCTTTTCTCGGATCTATGCCATTTAAGTTAGGAATGGTCATCAGAATCCACCCTCTCCATGTATATCTTTTCTTTCTAAAAATATATTTCTCACCCT